TGCTTCAAGCACGGGCGTAGGAAGCGGGGGGGTGGGGGGGATGGATCCCCCCCAGGAAATAATGTGGGGGGAACAGGTATGGTAAAATCCCCCCCAGGTTAGAGGACTCAGAGCCGGAGGAGTGGGAGTGCTGATAACGCTGGCCTGGTAACATTTCGGTGCATTCAGATTTTTGCTTCCGAATGCACCAGTTTCTGACCTGTAGTTACATGAACAGCGTGTCGGCACTTCGACTCCGGGGTCTCCTTCCGGTTTCCAATGTGCACGGGCGGAATTATGTGCTGCAGGAGCAGGAGCCAGGAGCACATGTCTGGACTCCAGTGGCAGTGGCAGCCTGTCAGGGAGGAAGCAAAGCTGCTGGCTGGGAGCCTGGGACCACATAGAGAGACACAGCCTGGGTAAGTATGTTGATAATGCTGTGACACTGTTTATTAATAATGTGTTAATATTAGCAATAACATACTGTTTTATTCCTGTTGCTTCTCAAGACTAGTGGCCCCTATTCTAACTAGTGATGTTGCGAACATGAAATTTTCAGTTCGCGAACGGCGAACGCAAATTTCGGCTATGTTCGCGAACCGGGCGAACCGCCATAGACTTCAATAGGCAGGCGAATTTTAAATCCCACAAGTTGTTTCAAGGGGACTAACACCTGGACTGTGGCATGCAAACTCCGATCCGTGGCTGCATCTTGCAGCCGCTTAGTAGATAACTCCCTAATTCCCACGGTATTAGAGAGCTATCTATTAAAAGGCTGAAAGACCTAAATTGGTCTTTCAGCCACATTTACTAATACTAAGTAAAGGTTACTTAGTATTAGTAAATTATACCCCTACTCGCTCGTTTTTTGTTTGTTTGTTTTTTAATTGCGTCGGTTATTATGGTTTTTTTATTTGGCCTTTTTTGGGGCTGAAAAAAGAAGATTTAGAAGAAAGAAAACATTGAATGGTAAGTTTTATTTTTTTTTTACAGGTACTTAGTTAAAGGTCCCCCCTCATTATTTTTAGGGTGAGGGGGGTAGGTAGGGGGTTAATTTTTTTTGGGGGGAGGGGGTGACTAGGGGTTTGGGGACCCCTAGTCACCTGGGGGGGCATTTTTTTTTAGGGCCCCCACCCACCTCTCAGGGGTGGGGGCCGGGGGGGAGGACCTTAGGCCCCCCCTTTTTAGTATTTAGGGCCCCCACCCGCCGCTCATGGGTGGGGGCCAGGGGGAGGACATTAGGTCCCCCCCCTTTTTAGTACTAAGGGCCCCCACCCGCTCAGGGGTGGGGGCCAAGGGGAGGACCTTAGGTTCCCCCATTGTGATTTTTTTTCCCCCACCCACGCTCAGGGGTGGGGGCCAGGGGGGAGGACCTTAGGTCCCCCCTTTTTAGTATTTAGGGCCCCCACCCGCCGCTCAGGGGTGGGGGCCAGGGGGGAGGACCTTAGGTCCCCCCTTCTTAGTATTTAGGGCCCCCACCCACCACTCAGGGGTGGGGGCCGGGGGGGGCAGAAGTTCCCCCCCTATTGTTATTTTTTTTACTGATGCCATGTGGGTTTATTTTTACTGCTGCAATATGTCGGTTTATTTTTACTGCTGTTATACCGGTTAATTTTTACTGATGCCATGTGGGTTTATTTTTACTGCTGCTATACCGGTTAATTTTTACTGATGCCATGTAGGTTAATTTTTACTGATGCCATGTGGGTTTATTTTTACTGCTGCTATATGTCGGTTTATTTTTACTGCTGCTATATCGGTTTATTTTTACTGATGCCATGTGGGTTTATTTTTACTGCTGCTATACCGGTTAATTTTTACTGATGCCATGTGGGTGTAAAGAGAATATACCCCAACACGCAGGATTCAGCTAAACAGAAGACAACACAGAGGAGAGATACGTCTACCGGACCTTAGAATGGCCGGACTCAACGTATATGAGAGGAGACAGAGTCAGGAATGATCCGAAGTCAAGGGCACAGAGAGACAGCGTAAACTAGGACTAGCCGGGGTCTGGTACACAGTAAACAGCAAGCTGGCAACCAGAACAGATAAGGATAAAGAGAAAACATAGTCAGAAACAAAGCCAAAGTCAATACAAAGAAAACACAACTGAACACAACAAGCGCTAAAGGGAACTGAAACAGAAACCACGATAGGGCAGGGAGTAAAGGGAGAGGTAAGTTCAAATAGCTTCTAAACTAATGTGATTGGCTCCTGTCATATCCACACCCCCAAAAGGTAAGTGTATGGGGAGTGTGGCATGACAGGGGCCAATGGAAGCCTTTTGACAATTTAGGCTCCCACTGTCTCTTTAAGAGCGCGCCCGAGACTCGCGGCACGCGCTTAGATTTAGGTGGGACACGTGACCGCTTCTCGCGGTCACTGCCCGCCTTCCTATTGAAGCCGTCGGATGAGCCACGCGCGGCTCGTGTAGCAGCAGGACCGCGCGCGGCTTGAAGAGAGGACCGCGGCCGGCCCCTGGATAAGGTAAGTAACGCTATAGTGGGTTTATTTTTACTGCTGATATATGCCGGTTTATTTTTACTGCTGCTATACCGGTTTATTTTTACTGATGCCTTGTGGGTTTATTTTTACTGCTGCTATACCGGTTTATTTTTACTGATGCCATGTGGGTTTATTTTTACTGCTGCTATACCGGTTTATTTTTACTGATGGCATGCAGGTTTATTTTTACTGATGCCATGTGGGTTTATTTTTACTGCTGCTATACCGGTTTATTTTTACTGCTGCTATACCGGTTTATTTTTACTGATGGCATGCAGGTTTATTTTTACTGATGCCATGTGGGTTTATTTTTACTAATGCTATATGTCGGTTAATGTTTACTGATGCTATCAGAGCATCAGTAAAAATCAACTAACATTTCAGCATAGCATTGCTTGATTTGTTGATTTTTACTAATGCTATGTGGGTTGATTTTTACTGCTGGATAGTGCTCTTCAGATTAGCCTCTCTAGATTGCTTTAATAGTTTGATTTATTGGCTTGAGATACGGATTTGCATAAGTGAGGTGGGAGGGAGGGGAAAGCTAGGCTTTCCTATTCAGGCAGCACTGGGAGCGCCACCTGCAAGGGAGAATGTAATTACATCTGTCACCAGTGCGCTGTGTGCTAAGATGACAGATGTATTTTATGCCCAGAACAGTGCCAGACTGCCTAAGTCACGTATGCCGGCTGCCGGGGGGGCAACTAGCAGTAATTCTGGAACACGCACTAGGTTAAAGATGCTATGTCAGAAAATGGGCTAGATATAATAAACTAATTATTGTAGAGAAATTAAAAAGTTCATGTTATTCTTAAATCTTTTGTTATCATTCAGTATTATCATTCTTCTTTATATTTTGTCTTTTCTAAAACCTTATGCTTAAAAGTCAGTTTCAGTGAAGAAAGTCAGAATGGATATCCGCAAGTTTTTTTACAAAGCCTAGTAAAGCAAATACATCTTCATCAAGCTCAGAAGCATGTCAACAAAAAGTGATCACTGAATCACCAGTCAGGCATCATTTTGTTGAGCCAGAAAAGGAATATGCTGAGACAGTGATTTTAGAAGCAGTTGGCCTCATGAGTGACTCAAGTAGTGATGGTGAGGAAGACCATGCTTGTGGTCCTGCAATCAAAACTGTAGAAGATGTTCATAGTAACTCTAAAACATACACGAAAGGAAAATGCATTTCTCTTCCAGATGATGATGAGAAAACATTACGAACGGCAGTGGTACCAAATCAACCAGACTACAAAACAATTCCAGCTCAGACCATTGTAACACAAAAGACAAAGAAGCGTGTTCTACATTTTCAAGAGTGCTGGTCCAAAGCTTTCCATGGCTGCACTACAGTTTTACTCTTGAAGGGGTACTATTTTTCTACTGTGCCAAAGCAGCCTTCCTGAATCTGACTCAACTCGAAAAGAACACTGAGCCAGCATTTGTGTGTGTAGGCTTTAAAAATTTGAAAAAAGCTATTGAAAAGTTTAAAAAACATATTCTATAAAGCAACTATTGCATCATAAAGATTTGCAACCCATTAATGCTCAGCTTTCACTACAAATTCAACAGCAACAGAATAATGCATGGCTGTGTCTCATCAAGATAGTACAAACAATAGCCCTGTTGGCAAAACAATGTCTCCCTCTTCGTGGCCATGAAGACAATGATGGCAATTTTAAACAGTTTCTGCTTGCACGAGCAGATGATGTGTCTTATCTAAAAAATTGTATAGCACACAAAGCAGAATACATGAGTCCCGACATTCAAAATGAGATTTTGAAGTTATTGTCTCACACCGTATTATGCCTTATTCGGAAACAGATTGGGAATAATGCCTTTGCAATTATTGTTGATGGCACACAAGATATATCTGGTCAAGAACAAGAAAGTTTCTGTATCCGCTATGTTGATGAAGACTTGTACCCACATGAGGACTTCATAGGCTTATATCAAGTTGATGAAACAAGTGGATCTGCAATCCCACAGATCGTCAAGGATGCTTTATGCCGTAATGGGCTTTGTATGTCAATGTTGCGAGGGCAAACATATGATGGAGCTTCAAATATGGCTGTTAAATATCATGGTGCCCAGGCATTAATCAAGCAGGAACAACCACTTGCCATTTATGTCCATTGCGGTGCACATTGCACAAATTTAGTTATGCAGGCCGCAGCACATCAATGTCCAATAATGGAAGATGCACTTATGTGTGTGCAAGATCTTGGCAAACTCTTTGGGCAATCAATGAAATGCAGAAACACATTTTCAGAAATTGTGCATCGTGAAGCTGAAGGGCCTCTTAAAGTCTTGCATATTAAACCATTGTGCCCAACACGCTGGACTGTTAGAGTGAAACCTGTGAAAAAAATTATGGATAATTACCAGCTGATTTTGGAAACACTTGAAGAAATTGCAAATACCAGAAATAGTGGAGATATAAATCCACGTGCACGTGGCCTACTACAACAATTTAGGCAAGGGAAAACTCTACTAGGTCTTTAAATCTCTCTTAGTATCATGGAGATCTTAGAATGCCTGAATGTAGCCTTGCAAGGCAGAGAACAAACCATATCAGGACTTTTAGCAAGTGTACAACGGACCCATGATGCTATACAAAAGTTACGATGTGACACGTCCTTTGAAAGAGTTCTTGCTACCACTATTCATTTAGTGGAAAAATACGAGCTAAAAGAAGTTACTGTACCAAGGCAACCTAATATTCCTAAACGTCTTCAACATGGGCCAACTGAACAATTTCATGCAAAGACTGTGAAGGAATACTATTGTCCTCAGTATTTCCAAATAATGGATATTATATCGACGCAGTTAATACAGCGCTTTGCCCAAGAGGGCTTACTTGTATATGAAAAACTGGAACATTATCTGTTGACCGGACAAGCTAGTGAAGTTCTTCCCCAGTATCCAGAGATTGAATATCATCTGCTCTCTGCCCAGATAACCACCTTATCAAGTGTTTACAAGTACACTTCAGTCTCTGAGGTTGTAGATATTTTGCGAAAGATGCCTGCCAGAGAAAGATGCTTTTTCTCTCAAGTACAAAAAATTGTCAGAATCCTATTAACTATTCCTGCTTCTTCCTGTGAAGCTGAGAGAAGTTTTAGTGCACTGCGTAGATTAAAAACCTGGTTAAGGTCCACAATGACCCAGAAACGTTTGAACCATGTTGCTATATGCAACATCCATAGAGACATAATGGATAAACTAGACATTGAAGCCATAGCAAAGGAATTTGCAATGTGTTGTGATCGCCGCAAAAAAGTTTTTAGATTTTAAAAACTTGCGTTCTTTAGTGTGTGAGCTGGCAGTGGCAGGCACACATTTACAGGAACAGCTACCTTTCACCTAGTTAGCTGAAATACGCTACAGTGGTTGTGATGCTTGGAGGGTCTCACTCTGTCTGCAGTTAGAAAATTGTTTCTATTTATATAGTTATAGTATTTAATAGTATTTATACAAGATCTTTTGAGCATATTGTTTCTATTTAAATAGTTATAGTATTTAATTGTATTTATACAAGATCTTTTGAGCATATTGTTTCTATTTATATAATTATAGTATTTAATTGTATTTATACAAGATCTTTTGAGCATATTGGTTCTATTTATATAGTTATAGTATTTAATTGTATTTATACAAGATCTTTTTTTTTGTTAAAATCAGGCAATAGTGCATTACTTAAAGTATTATTACCACTAGTTCTAAGTGGAATAACTAAAATATATGCCAAACGTTTGGTTAATTTCTGTGACCTGATAAATAAAGAACTGTTCCTTTTGCATATTTTTTTGTTGTGAGATTTTTCACACACACACACACACACTTAAAATTTAACGTTATAAACAAGTCCCAGTTTACTGAATAAGAATATACCCGGCGAGCAAAAATGCTGTCCCCCCCCAGATTTTTGGGGGTTCCTACACCCATGGCTTCAAGGATACAGTAGGGGGGCTGTCACAGGGGGTTCTGCCCAGGGGTTTCTACCTTATGTACAGCTAGGGTAGTGTAACTGGGCTCTTGGGAGAACAGAAGCTATCTTGCCTGTACCTTCTCTGTGTGGCTTAACCGGTCCCTTAGCTGCACAAGGCTAGTAAGGTCAGTCTGGGGGTCCCCCTCTAGCAAATCGGGGAGGGGTAGGTTCTCAGGGTCATCTGCAGCAGGGGCACACACTGCAGCGACATCCTTCGGTCTCTCATGAAAGGACCACTGAATCCTTTCATCTGCACAGCTGGCTATGGTATAGGCAGTATCACACACCTGAGCTAACACCTTATACGAGCCCTGCCAAGATGCTTGCATCTTGTTCGTCTTCACAGGCTTGAGCACCAAGACTTTCTGCCCAACCTGGAAGATCCGCTGCCAGGCACCCCGATCGTACCACCTCTTCTGTCTCCCCTGGGCCGCCTGGAGATTCTCTCTTACCATCAGAGACAGTTTCTCCATGCGGACCAGGAGTTCCAGGATATATGGCACTATGGGGGTCCCCTCCTGTCTCTCCCTCCCAGTATCCTCTAATGAGATCATGGGGTAAGCGGACCCTTCTCCCATAGAGTAACTCAAAGGGAGAGAACCCAGTAGATTCCTGGGGCACCTCTCTATAGGAAAATAACAGATGAGGCAGGAACCTCTCCCAGTCTCTGCACGTGTCAATAAAGGTCCTCAGTATCTGCTTGAGGGTGCCATTAAAGCGCTCGCAGAGACCGTTAGTCTGTGGGTGATAAGGTGAGCTAATCAGTGGTTTGATGCCGCACACCTTCCACAGCTGCTGGGTGAGCACAGCGGTAAACTGGGTCCCCTGGTCAGAGAGAATCTCCCTAGGGAACCCGACCCTAGTAAAAATCTTAACCAGGGCATCAGCAACCGTCTCTGAGTGTGCCTTACACCAGGTACACAAAGGTATAGAGGATACCTGGGTGTACCTGGTGTAAGGCACACTGTCTCTCAAAATCAGCCAGGAACTAGTGATGTCCCAAACGGTGCGCTGGCGAATAGTTCCTGGCGAACATAGCGTGTTCGCGTTCACCACCGATGGCGAACATATGCGATGTTCGGTCCGCCCCCTATTAATTTACTAATACTAAGTAAAAATTACTTAGTATTAGTAAATTGTGCCCCTACTCGCAATACCGCGAGTAGGGGCATGTCTATTACCTGAGCGGTGGGTGGGGGCCCTAAAATGAACAATAAGGGGGGGACCTATTGTCCCCCCCCAGCCCACACCTCTG